AGCATAGTTTGAGCCATTAAGACTAGGGCATAACAGAGTATAATGAATAATGAAAGAGTATAATGTAACATATCAGAGTATAATAAATTACAGTAACCACATCTGATAAAAGCTTTATTTATGACAGAATGGAGTATATAATGGAGCATGATAGTGGAGCATTAATGAGCATATATGTGGGTGAACGAGAGGGACACAGGCACAGGGCTCATTGTGTTAGATCACCTTTAAAATGTTAACTAGAGAGAGCAAAGGGTCGTTCACCTCTAATTGCATGGGCCTGTTAGTTAACGTGGTGTGTGCGGGTCTATTACATACATACATACATACATACATACATACATACATACATATAAAAAATAATCAAATCCAGTCCTGTAATTATCTCTACTTGGCGGTTGTAATTATTGGTAATGTTATGTTATTTGGTGCCTGAAATATTTTATGTATAACGCGTGAAGTATAACAGAAATATATATCTTTAATTACTGCAGTGTCTGTATGAGTGATAGAGTGAGAAACTTTCCTAGTTTTAATGAGGTTAGGTTAGGTAAGCTTTGGTTAGGTTTGGTTTGGTTTGGTTAGGTTAGGGTAGGGTTGGTTAGGTTAGGGTAGGGTTGGTTAGGTTAGGGTAGGGTAGGGTTGGTAAGGTTAGGTTAGGTTAGGTTAGTTTAGGTCCAATACCCATCGTGTACTCTTACGTCAAGACACAACATACAAGTCGACGATGATTCATGTTCTTGGTGATCCAGCAGTGTGTGTGTGTGTGTGTGTGTGTGTGTGTGTGTGTGTGTGTGTGTGTGTGTGTGTGTGTGTGTGTGTGTGTGACCTGCCCGTCCCTCACCGGGCTCTGGGGGAAGGACAGTGCACAGGGGGGACAGTGCAGAGGGGGACAGTGCAGGACCAGTGCACAGGGTGCAGTGCACAGAGGGAGGACAGTGCACAGAGGGGGGGGACAGACAGTGCACGGAGGGGGACAGTGCACAGAGGAGGACAGTGCACAGTGCACAGAGGGGGGACAGTGCACGGAGGGGGGACAGTGCACAGAGGGGGGACAGTGCACAGAGGGGACAGTGCACGGAGGGGAGGGCAGTGCACGGAGGGGGACGCAGTGCACAGAGGGGCGATAGTGCACGAAGGGGTATATAAGTGAAAAAATGGATCTTCACTCTGTCATTCAGGTCCCTTTGAAATGGTTTGCTTTGTGGTGTGTTGTAGTCGACCCAACAGGCAATCATCGCTGTGTGTGTCTCCTTGTAGCTCAGTAACAGTGAGTGGTGGTGGTGGAGGTAGTGGTGATAGTTGTGGTTGTGGTAGTGGTGGTGATGGTAGTAATGGTGGTAGTAATAGTGTTGGATATAGTGCTGATGGTGGTAATTGTAGTGGGGGTGGTGTTGGTGGTATTGGTGATGATAGTGGTTGTTGTGGTAATGGTGGTGGTGGATATGGTGCTGATTATGGTAGTGATTATGTTAATAGTAGTGGTGGTGGTGATATTAGTAATGGTGGTGGTAGTGGTAAAGATGGTGGTGGTGGGGATGATAGTGTTGGTGGTAGTTGATATGGTGGTCGTGGTGGTGGTGTTGATGGTGGTGGTTGCATTAGTGGTGATAGTAGTAGAGGTGGTTGTCACTGGTGGTGGTAGTTGTGGTAGTATTAGTGATGGTGGTGGTGGTGGTAGTGTTGATGGTAATGTTGGTGATGGTGTTAAGGTTGGTGATGGTGGTAAGGTTGGTGATGGTGGTAAGGTTGGTGATGGTGGTAAGGTTGGTGATGGTGGTAAGGTTGGTGATGGTGGTAAGGTTGGTGGTGGTGGTAAGGTTGGTGATGGTGGTAAGGTTGGTGATGGTGGTAAGGTTGGTGATGGTGGTAAGGTTGGTGATGGTGGTAAGGTTGGTGATGGTGGTAAGGTTGGTGATGGTGGTAAGGTTGGTGTTGGTGGCAGGGTTGGTGATGGTGGTAAGGTTGGTGATGGTGGTAAGGTTGGTGATGGTGGTAAGGTTGGTGTTGGTGGTAAGGTTGGTGTTGGTAAGGTTGGTGTGGTGGTGGTTGGTGATGGTGGTAAGGTTGGTGATGGTGGTAAGGTTGGTGTTGGTGGTAAGGTTGGTGATGGTGGTAAGGTTGGTGATGGTGGTAAGGTTGGTGATGGTGGCAAGGTTGGTGATGGTGGTAAGGTTGGTGATGGTGGCAAGGTTGGTGATGGTGGTAGAGGTGGTGGTGGTAGGGGTGGTGGTGGTGGTAGTGGTGGTGGTATGGGTAATAGTGGTGGTGGTAGTAGTAGTGATATTAGTGGTGGTGGTTGTTGTTACTGGTGGTCGTGTGATGGTAGTAGTAGTAGTAGTGGTAGTAGTAGTAGTAGTGGTAGTAGTAGTAGTAGTGGCAGTAGTAGTAGTAATAGTTATTGTCAGTGGTGGTCGTGGTAGCTGTGTCAACATAAACAACACGAGGCAGTGATGGGCGGGGTAACATCAGCTCCCGGGCCCGACCCTTCACCCGCGGGTATATAAACAACGAGACGATCCTGCCCACGTAAAATATTCCAAAGAGGAGTTTGACGAGAGGGGTGGGTAGGTGTTCCCCCTTCCCTCTCCCCTTCCCTCTCATCTTCCCCCACCCCCTCCCTCACGGTCTTTTCTTAGTGCTTCAACTGGTCTAAACATCTCCCGCCGCCGCTGCTTGAGTGACTGCGTAGCCTCGTGCTGTTCCTTCGCAGCAAAAGGTTCTCCCTCACTCTCGGGCAAATATTTGTGTAATCAACAGGCGACAACTGCAGGAGGGTCGCCCATGAGGCAGCCTGACCCCTCCCACACACGCCTCCACCCGCTCTAGCCACTACAACTTAATCTATCCCTACCTAAACTATCAGGTAAAGTTGGGTAGTGTGAGATGCTCCGGCCACGCGTACGAGCTCGCCTCTCCGCCTCCACCACTACTACACTACAACACTGCTCCACTAGGTTAGGTTATCACTGCAGTTGCCAGAATAAACCTTCACTCGCCCGCCTCGTCATCCACTACTTTTTATCGATCAAATTGTCAATATCGGCCTTGGTAGAGCCTTGGTGGCCCTCACCTGCTGATCACTACAGAGAGAGACGCCATGTTTGAGGGTTCATATATCAATAAAGTGTTGACCAATGTGATATTTTGTATGGTAGTGAGGCGGTAAGTGCCAGGTGTTATCATGCACGGCAACATGTTACACTCCCATTCTCCACCATTGCAAGATGTGTGGAAATGCTTGCAAGCGTGAGTCATTATTGTGTCTGCTTCTATCACCAATAACACCAACATCACTACGTCTCCTTAATCACAGTGTTCTCTTATATAAACAGTGTAAGTACAGTTCCGGTAAAGTAACTTGTTCTTATGATAACAGCGAAGTAAATCTAATGTTCAGCCAATGCAATTTTAAAGTGAACGTAACACTGTGGAAAAATGCTTTAATCAAGAAAGCTTAGCATGCAGGAACGAAAGTTTCAGTCAAGGAAAAATTTTCAAAAGCTATCGACAGACACCGCTGATATATTTCATAATGTTTCGTCTATAGATGAACGCGGAATTAGAAGCAAAAATGGGTTAAAATTACAGTATATAGCCGTAACTGTGATGATACACCGCCATTAAAATCAACATAAGGTAAAACAGAACGATGAGTGAGGAAGGCGGGAAAATAAACTCATATAATGAGGAAATATCGCGTCTCTGTCAACCTCGCCTGCCTCCTGTCAGGGAATATTACACCTACTTAAAGGTGCATGTAAGGATCAGTTTAGCTTAATGACATCCTCTACCACCACCACCACCACTACCATGGCACACCGATGCCAACACGCCTGTCTGTCTGTTTGTTGATCCAGGTCACCAAGGCAACGAAAACCAAGCCTTGCCACACAAACTACTGTACACCAACTCAGAATTAAATCATTGCCTTAGAATAAAAAAAAAGAGGTTCATTAATTACAAACAATTAATAATACTATAATTATTTCTTTATCATTTTCTTAGATCTTGAGAAATAATGATTCAAAATAGGGTCAGGTAAATTGGAGGAAGATCTTTATCGAAACGAGGCAGAGGTCCCAGAGCTAACGGGGAACACCACTGTTAATGTCACGTAGGCTCCTCTCTGAGTATTGATTGGCTCGCCTCCCGTTACCCTGCTTTATAGGTGACAGGCGGGAGTGTGCCTTAATCCTAAGTGGGATTTATTATTATTATTATTATTATTATTATTATTATTATTATTATTATTATTATTATTATTATCTCAGTCACCGTCCTCTTTGCTCCCTCCCCCCCTCCACTACACCCACACACTAGTTAGTACACCCCTACACTAGTACACCCACCACCATCACTACACCCCTACACTAGTACACCCACCACCATCACTACACCCCTACACTAGTACACCCACCACCTTCACTACACCCCTACACTAGTACACCCACCACCATCACTACACCCCTACACTAGTACACCCACCACCTTCACTACACCCCTACACTAGTACACCCACCACCATCACTACACCCCTACACTAGTATACCCACCACCTTCACTACACCCCTACACTAGTACCCACCACTATCACTACAGTACACCTGCCCCACTAACCCTCCCAACTGGAACTTAACTGTTTATATACCTGTAATGTCTATGTACTTTATTTATATATCTTTATTTTATATGTATATTGTTTGTATACCTGCACTGCCCCATTGTGTCTTATCTGAAGGGTTGTTAGTCCTAAGGCCCCTTGTCTACTTGGATAATCTAGATGACACAGTTCCGGAATTATCTTGATCGCTCTATGTTCCGTCTTTTCCAGGGATGTTCGGTCGTTCTGGAGGTAGGGTGTCCATGTCTCTATATAGTAATCCAGACTGGGACGTACCGTACATGTGAATTGTACAGCTGAAGGAGCATTTTTTATCGTTGGATTCGAATGTACGCTTGTAATTCTTAAATTTTGGTTGGATAATCCCTTGCTGCTTCCACTTTTTGCGCCGCCATCAGACTGACCTATCACAACGCCCAGATCTTTTTCCTTATCTATAGTATTGAGAAAAGTGTTATTAACAGGATAGTTGTGATTACGGTCGTTGTATCTTACGTGTATCTGAAAAAGCATTTACCAGTCCCGCGACCATTTGAACCTTGGCTTGTTACCTTCTCAGATATCTTCGTGTCGTCCGTAAACTTGACAGTGTGGCTCGATTTATTTTCATCTATGTTGTTTATGTAGATCACAAACAGGGTGGGTACGGTGATAGAGCCTTGTGGTACTCCACTGAGAACTTTTGTCCATTCAGAATGTACTCCATTTATCACCACCCTTTGTTGCCTGTCTTCGAGTCACGTGTTAATCCTGTTGTATTCCTGTACTGTTTATGTAAATTATTCATATACAATGTGAACTTTAATTATCTATCAATTCATAATTTGTTCTCTATCATTTCAACGTTCATTTATTCTTAATCCTTTCACAGGTAAAGATTCGATAGTGACAATAATGGGTAATTAATAACCAAAACAGATTTTCTTATGTTTTTCATAATGATTTCCGTCCCTGATGTATATTTATGGAGATGTGATCCCTTACCACTACCAACGACAATGGTTTCTTACACAGTGGGAAAGATTTGGTCAGGTTCTCTAAGGTTTGATTTTAATATTTTCCCCACATTGTCCTTCATCTCTAAAGCCACACCCACTTTCTGTAAGTCACTGTCATATCTCCATCAATGTTCAACAGCAACGGTAAATATAAAAAAGACAGTTATTTTGGTTATTATTTTCCTATTATAAACACTAACGAATCTCTACCCAAACGTATTGTCTGTTGGTTCAATTTCTTTAATACATCGGAAGTAATAATAAGTTGATAACCCCAGTTAAAATAATAAATAAATAAACAAATAAATAAATAAATAAATAGGTCCTTTACATTCAAACTCATAACTTTAAATTTTATGAACAATTCAACAATCAGTTTATATCAGTTAAGATAATATTACTTAAGTTACCCTTCTAGTTAGAGCGAGAATTTATTTAGAGAAAATATAACATTTGGATGGTAGACTTGTCTATTATGGCTGTAACCCTGTCTTGTGAACTGACTTTTTCTTTTGTTTACTTTAAGGTACCGTATTGGTTACAGTTCCCGGCGACCACACTCGGTGCTCCTGTTTGGTGTTCTGGTAATACTTCACTTGATGGCCACAGCCGCCAGTCAGAGTAAGTGCTTTGTAGTTTTATTATTTATATAGGTTAGGTTAGGTTAGGTTTTTAAAGGTTTATTGGGTGTTCTTTATAGGTTAGGACAGTGTTCAAAATGTTAAAATCCGCTGAAAAATAACTTTAAAAAAGCTAAGGCCATAAAGTGAAATATTCCCGGTGTTCCTCCCAGTCGTGTTGTTCAGCGTCTGTTTACGGCCCCCTATACTGGCTGGCGTCCCCGAACCTAACTTGCCCTCATCGTAACCTTTCATAAATATTACCTAGACAAAGTATTTGACCGTGAAAGGTTTAATTATTTGTTATAGCTGATAGTAGTCACATGCATACTGTCTTGATGTAACTGTTTATCATCATCATCATCATCATCATCATCATTATTATTATTATTATTATTATTATTATTATTATTATTATTATTATTATTATTATTATTATTATTGAGTTGAGTCAGGCTTCCTTGACCAGAGAGGAAGGGGTGTACAGTATTTCAGGTGTGAAGGATGGTTTACCTAATATAGCCAGTGGCCAAATGTTAATTATCAGTGAAAAATTTTTTTTTTGTCTAATCTTGGTCAGTTAGAGGTACATTTTACCATGTTGATGAAGAAATATCCTAAGTGAGACCAGTGTAGAAAGGACCTGGGTGTGGTTACAGGACAGGAAACAGCGAGTGAGCATTAACGGCACTAAATCCCATTGGAGCAACGTCACTAGTGGAGTTCCCCAAGGCTCAGTATTTGGACCATTATTATTTATTATATACATGAACGACATAGATATCAGCATAGACAGCAACATAAGTAAATTTGCTTATGACACCAAAATAGGACGTGTTATTAAATCTGACGAGGACTCCACAAAACTACAGAGATTTAGGAGTAATGATAAGTAGGAACTTTAAGCCAAGTAAACAATGTGTATTTGCTCGAAACAAGGCTAATAAAGTACTTGGGTTCATACAAAGGAGTGTTAGTTACAAGACTAGCGAGGTCATCCTAAAACTATATCTTGCGCTTGTGAGACCTCACTTGGATTACGCAGTTCAATTCTGGTCACCGTACTACAGAATGGATATAAAATCCTTGGAAAGAATTCAGAGGAGAATGACAAGGCTAATCCCGGGCATTAGGAACCTTGAGTACAGAGACAGGTTAATGCATCTTAATTTGCACTCCCTCGAGAGACGTAGAGTGAGAGGCGATATGATAGAGGTGTATAAATGGAAGTCAGGGCTGAACAAAGGTGACATTACAAAGGTACTCAAACTATCCAACCAGGAGCGAACTCGTAACAATGGTTTTAAATCAGACAAATTTAGATTTAGGCGCGAAATAGGTAAACACTGGTTTGGTAACAGAGTGGTGGATGAATGGAACAAGTTACCAAATATCATAATTAACTCGAATACGCTGGATAGCTTCAAACATAGGTTGGATGCTCATATGAGCAATAGGGGTTGGGTGTAAACGGGACTGCCCAGTATGGGCCAATATGCCCGCTGCAGTTTCCTCCATTCTTATGTTCTTAAGTCTATTATGCCAGCGTCTATTTGTTCTTCTTGTTCTTCGCCACGTAGTGCATTAAGAGAGAACAGCCGTGCATGTAGAACCACTGGTTGAAGAAGTTCTCCAATACGAAGAGCTGGAGAGGTGAACAAAACAAATTAAAGTTATTTCTCAAACATAATCTGGAAAGACTTTTTTTATTATTTCAATTAAAAAACAACAGCAACAAAATACGTGAATGAACAAATAAACAAAAACAACAACACAAGTGAAGGTATTTTTTTTTTCATGATCTAAATGGACTTTTGTTAGGTTAGGTTAGATTAGGTTAGGTTAGGCTAGGTTAGGTTAGGTTAGGTTAGGCTAGGTTAGGCTAGGTTGGGTTGGGCTAGGCTAGGTTAGGTTTGCATTAGGGTGTTTGGTAATTATTCACGATTGACCCGCCGCTGATTTTTCATAGAAACCGAATTTAAAAACGCTGCAATTTTACTGTGTTTTATAGTGGACACTGTGAAGGTTTTGGTAAATGTGTCAAAAGGTGATTCTTTCTAAACTAGACCTGACCTGACCTGACCTGACCTAACCTAACCTAACCTAACCTTAGTTGATATGAAAAGCAAGTGGCCGAGGCGTTGTCAGAAGACCTCACCAAGCTAACCAACGAATCCTACCTAACGTAACTTCCTCCGGACACTCTCATATTTTAAACACAAAGAACTTAATAATTATGATATGGTGTAATATTACGTTTTTTTTGTGGACATAAGAGCAGCCGCCCAGATAGTGTGGCGTTTAAGCATACACTGGCGACTGGCGGGATGATTGGGTGTGTACCGCCGCATCATTGCCGAGAGAGACAGATTAGTGTGCGCCTAGTCACCTCCCTCCCCCCCCCCCAAAAAAAATATTATATCAGAACTAAATGATGAAAATAAAGTAAGAATATAAGCATCAAAACAAATGACGCCTCGGCGGGTTAGTCGTTAATATTAGCCGGGTGTTTAATTACCAGGTGATGCACGAGTTAATTAGAAGTAAACTCACCTGTATACCATGAGCCCAGTAGCCTGTTGTCCGACGAGCATAACCCAGCGTGTTGACGGCGTGGTAGGCGAAGGTGGCGGGGGAGGGACTGAACACATCTGGTGGTAAAGAGTGTTATGTCTTTACTGAGTGTCACGCCTTGTACACTGGATCAGTAAACAACATCCAGGTCACTCACAAGGTCATTAAACAACATCCAGGTCACTCACAAGGTCATTAAACAACATTCAGGTCACTCACAAGGTCATTAAACAACACCCAGGTCACTCACAAGGTCAGTAAACAACATCCAGGTCACTCACAAGGTCATTAAACAACATCCAGGTCACTCACTTGTTTTGTGCAGGAGGCTGGAGAACTTGGTCATGTTAGTGGTGACCAGCCCCGGGGTGAGGGTCTGGATGGTGACCCCTGACCCCCTGCACTCCCACTCTAGCCCCTGTGAGAAGCTGTCCACGAAGCTCTGAGGATACAAGATAATACAGCGTGATAGAACATGATACAGTGTGATATAACCCACAACACCACAACACAACAATATACAAACACCACCACAACACCACAACACAAGCACAATTCAGTTCATAACACAGACACAACCCACAAAACCACAACACAAACAACATCCCATACCACCACAACACAACCCACAACACCACAACACAACCCACAACACCACAACACAAAACACCACACCACAATCCACAACACCACAAAACAATCCTACCTTACTGGCAGCATATATACCAAGTAGTGGAGCAGGATATATGGCAGTTATGGAGGCAATGTTTACTACGGCTCCTCTCCCCTTCGTTAACATCCCCGGCAGTAGGAGGTGGGTCATGGCGGGTACTGAGGCCATGTTTACATTGACGTGGCCCCATATGCTACTCTCTGTTACCTGGTTAAACTTCATAGGGCAGGTGAGGCTCATTCCTACGTTGTTGACTGAAAGATAAAATATGGTGTTAGGTGTGGTGGGAGGTCTAGGGTGTGTGTGGAGGTCTAGGAGGTGTGTGTGTGTGGGGGTCTAGGAGTGTGTGTGTGTGTGGGGGACTAGGAGGTGTGTGTGTGGGGGGTCTGGGGTGTGTGTGGGGGGTCTGGAGGTGTGTGTGTGTGGGGGTCTAGGAGGGTGTGTGTGTGGGGGGTCTAGGAGGGTGTGTGTGTGTGGGGGTCTAGGAGGTGTGTGTGGGGGGTCTAGGAGGTGTGTGTGGGGGGTCTAGGAAGTGTGTGGGGGGGGGACTGGGAGGTCTGTGTGTGTATGTCTGTGTGTTTGTAATCGTATATATGTGTATGTGTGTGTACAAGTGAATTATGACGTAGTTTAACCATAATAATAATAATAATAATAATAATAATAATAATAATAATAACTAAACAACAGCAACACAAAACACTAACAATAATATCAACAAAACCATGAAACACAATAAACACTCCTAAGAAAACACAGGTAAACGGAGACTCACCCAAGATCCCGATGTCCTTATTGGCCAGGTGTTTCTTAATGACGTCATAGATAGGTAAACCATCACAAAAGTTTACCTGTATGACGTCAGTCTCGACTCCATAGTCTTCAACTGTAGATTATAAAAAGACTATTAATTTACATCGATTAATTATACCTGTCTTTAATTACCTGTACTAATATGATGTTTTACTTTGATTAGGAAGGTAATTATTAGTTAAGTTATAAAAGTTGTTGATAAGTGTTTGAATTAACTTAATTTACCTGTTAAAAGTCTATTACAACAACTACTACTACTACTACTACTACTACTACTACTACTGCTACTACTACTTTTTTTTATTAAATGTCCTCCATTCGCCATTCCGAGACTAAAACGTTGTGTATAGTACTTAAACACACACACACACACACACACACACACACACACACACACACACACACATGTTGTTTTTACTGAAAGACAAAACCTTTAAGGAGGACAAAAACTAGTTTATCGATGAACAATAAAATCCTGTTAAACCTAGAGTATATCCGGTATGGTAAAGGGTGTTTATAAAGTCCCTTGATGTTTGGGTTTACAGTCCTCTTGACGTTTGTGTTTACTTTTATCAAGGGACTCTGTAAACACAAACATCAAGGGACTCTGTAAACACAAACATCAAGGGACTCTGTAAACACAAACATCAAGGGACTCTGTAAACACAAACATCAAAGGACTCTGTAAACTAAAACATCAAAGGACTCTGTAAATACAAACATCAAGGGACTCTACCTGTAAGCTTCAACTATCAAAGGGACTCTGCATAAACACAAGCATCAAGGGACTCTGTAACACAAACATCAAGGACTCTGTAAACACAAACATCAAAAGGACTCTTCATCTAAACATCTACAAGGGACTCTGTAAATACAAACATCAAGGGACTCTGTAAATACAAACATCAAGGGACTCTGTAAACACAAACATCAAGAGACTCTGTAAATACAAACATCAAGGGACTCTGTAAATACAAACATCAAGGGACTCTGTAAACACAAACATCAAGGGAATCTGTAAGTAGCTTATCAGGACTCTGTAGCACAAACATCCAAGGGACTCTGTAAATAAGGGACTCTGTAAACACAAACATAAGGACTCTGTAAAACAAACATCAAGGGACTCTATGCACAAACATCAAAGACTCTGTAAAACATCAAGGGACTCATAACACAAACATCAAGGACTCTGTAAACACAAACATCAAGGGACTCTGTAAACACAAACATCAATGGACTCTGTAAACACAAACATCAAGGGACTCTGTAAACACAAACATCAAGGGACTCTGTAAACACAAACATCAAGGGACTCTGTAAACACAAACATCAAGGGACTCTGTAAACACAAACATCAAGGGACTCTGTAAACACATATACGAACGCTAAGTTTGTAAATAAAATGAACAGGAAGACAGAGTTATGAGTCAACACGCAGTATGACTGAGGAAGGGGGAGAGGGAGGGATGGATGGTGGGAAGGGAGGGAAGGAGAGGTGGTGGGAAAGAAGGGGAGGGAGCAAGGGAAGGAGAGAGAAAGAGAGAGCAAGGGATGGTGGGAAACGGGCGAGGGAGGGAGGGAGAGAGAAAACGCTAATGGAGAGGGAATGAGAGAGAGAGCGAGGGAAAGAGAGAGAGAGAGAGGGCCGGTATGAGAAAACCCCAAGGCAAGTTTTTGTCGAGTATATTTCTTCACCAAAACAAAAACGGCGAAAGAACAGATCCGGAATGACCACATGACAACAAAAAGTCAGTACAAAAACAAAAGAGAGAGAGAGAGAGAGAGAGAGAGAGAGAGAGACCTTCACGTGTCTAGTGAGTAAAAAAACAAAATCTTGAAGTCATATCTTGTTTTAAATTACTTATTTTTTCTTATTCTTTTTTATTTCGTATTTATTTTGTTACTAGAGATATTCAAGGTGTGGTGTGTACGTTGGTGTAATTCTAACCCCTTGTTTGTTTGTTTGTTTGTTTGTTTGTTTGTTTGGTAGATTGTTAGCCATTGAAGAAGTATGTGTGGATATTTTGAATTGTTATCGTCGCACTTTCCTATCACTTAAATAGGCACAGATAAACTCAGATACTTAAGAAGATTAATACACGAAACTTAGATACTTAGACAGACAAACTTAAGACAGATAGATACACCAAATTTAGATACTTAGATAGACAAACTTAGATAAATAGACACATCAAACTTAGATACTTCGACAAAACTTAGACATTTAGACAAAATTACCATAACTAAAATCCTGAACATAAAATAGCCGTAAATAATGAACACATTTTAAGCCTTGGATTAAACCTTCAACTAACCTATTTCCCGGGCAACATTCTTCAGCTTGTCCAGGTTCCGTGAGATGAGGACAATGTTGACACCTCTCTTGGCTAACTCCCGTGCGTATGCCTTGCCTATGCCGTCCGTGGAGCCCGTTACCACTGAAAGAATGGTATATATTGTTTAGCGCCTGATACAACTGAAAATATGGTATATGTTGTTTGTTTGAAGCCTGGCACAACTGAAAGAATAGTCCGTTGTTTGTTTGGATCCTGATACAACTGAAAATATGGTACGTTGTTTTTTAGAGCTTGACACCATCCACTTCCTCCAGATAGCCTGAGGTTCAGGTGGGGGGACGACTCTTCAAATAATGAGAGAAAATAGATATGAAAGAGACTTGCTAAATCATTATACGTAACATAGTGTACAGGTGTAGTACCAGAATCCTGGAGGATAGCGAATGTAATACCGATTTTCAAGAAGGGGGATAGATCACTATCCTCTAACTACCGCCCAATCAGTCAAACATCAATAGTAGGCAAATTACTGGAAGCAATCATTTCAAACTCTATTCGAAATCACCTAGAGAAGCACCGATTGATCAATGATTCTCAGCATGGCTTCACAAGCGGACGTTCATGTCTAACTAATCTATTCACATTCTTTTCATCAGTTTTCGAATCGGTGGACGAGGGGTACAATTATGATGTGGTATATCTCGACTTTAGTAAAGCCTTCGACAGAGTCCCCCACGAAAGACTAATTAGAAAGGTAGAAGCACATGGCATCAAAGGTAATATCCTTAAATGGTAGGGCGTGGTTACAGGACAGGAAACAGCGAGTGAGCATTAACGGCACTAAATCCCATTGTAGCAACGTTACTAGTGGAGTTCCCCAAGGCTCAGTACTTGGACCATTATTATTTATTATATACATAAACGACATAGATATCGGCATAGACAGCAACATAAGTAAATTTGCTGATGACACCAAAATAGGACGTGTTATTAAATCTGACGAGGACTCCACAAAACTACAGGAAGATCTAAAAAAAAATTTCGAATGGTCTGAAAAATGGCAGATGAAATTCAATGTGGACAAATGTAAAGTACTCAGTATAGGAGATGTAAACAGGGAAACCAGTTACCAGATGAACAACGATGCCATTGAGAAATCCGACTGCGGGAGAGATTTAGGAGTAATGATAAGTAGGAACCTTAAGCCAAGTAAACAATGTGTATTTGCTCAAAGCAAGGCTAATAAAGTACTTGGGTTCATACAAAGGAGTGTTAGTTACAAGACTAGCGAGGTCATCCTAAAACTATATCTTGCGCTTGTGAGACCTCACTTGGATTACGCAGTTCAATTCTGGTCCCCTTATTACAGAATGAATATAGAATCCTTGGAAAGAATTCAGAGGAGAATGACAAGGCTAATCCCGGGCATTAGGAACCTTGAGTACAGAGATAGGTTAAAGCATCTTAATTTGAACTCCCTTGAGAGACGTAGAGTGAGAGGCGATGGAAGTCAGGGCTGAACAAAGGGGACATTACAAAGGTACTCAAACTATCCAACCAGGAGCGAACTCGTAACAATGGTTTTAAATTAGACAAATTTAGATTTAGGCGCGAAATAGGTAAACATTGGTTTGGTAACAGAGTAGTGGATGAATGGAACACGTTACCAAATATCATCATTAACTCGAACACGCTGGATAGCTTCAAACATAGGTTGGATGCTCATATGAGCAATAGGGGTTGGGTGTAAATGGGACTGCCCAGTATGGGCCAATATGCCCGCTGCAGTTTCCTCCATTCTTCTGTTCTTATGTGAAGGTTAACCAGGCCTGAGGTACGCACTTAACTGAATACTATGTTCCCAGTACACAAGGAAATAATGTGTCTGGCAGTGTACTCGACCACCTTCACTACCTCAACTGAAACATTAGATACGTATTCATAGCTGTAGATCGAGTTAATAAATAATGACCGTAGAACATCCTGGGAAGAAATGGATAACTGTCTAGATGGGGAATAAACACTGTAGTTTATCCTGGGAAGAAATAGATAACAGCATTCATAATAAATAAGGACACTAATAAATATTCGGGAGAAACAGCATAAAACACCTGCTGTATGTTTGTGTGTGTGTGGTTGGCAGGTATAGGTGTACACGGGTCTGTACTTACCTGCCCACTTGCCATAAACGTCCACGAGTCGTTTATCCCACAGCCTGGAGCAGAAGTGAGCTCTTACGCCAATAACAATCACCCAGATACCACGGAGAGCTGCCTTCCCTACACACAGCACACCCACCACAGTCAACACGTACTCCAACTGATCCACACTAGGCAGGAGAGCGTCACAGGCCATGTTTATTCCCTCACCTCACCTGCGATACTGATCCTGAAGTGCTCACAACACGTGTACGCCAGGTCTCTACTGCGCATGCTCAGTACAGACGTGGTGTGGATGGTGAACACAAACCTATGTTCTTATTGCGTCTTATTGAGTCCAGATTCTCATAGGTTCCTATTATAAATGCATCTTACTTATTGACTTGAGCTAAAACACAACATTAGCATTACAACCCTGACGTCGAGATTCTACCTTAACTAGGCAGGTTAACTTAGCAAACATTAGAGGACAATAAAACTAACAGAATATTCAGAAATAACTTTTATTTTAATTTTATCTGATGTACAGTGAATATATCTAGTTAGGGTAGAGTGTCAGCTACCTCACCTACGTGGCTGGTGTATCAATAAGCTGTATCAGTTATCGTCGGCAATATTTTCATCCAGTTTCCGAGTTCCCGCCACACAACTTCGTCCCCCGGTGTGCAGAAGTTAGTTGGGGTATAAAGCATTACTACCCTTCAAACAACTAAGGTCTTTTAAGCTACGTTCTCTAGTTTAGTCTATATACTCGCCATTAACAATATAATATAAATAAACGATACAAATAAAAAGATAAACCACATACACTAAATAAACTGACAAACTAAGAAAAACAGGAAAAATATCGTCTATTTCAGTTGATAAAATCAGAGGCCAAAAGTTTCAGGAGGGATACTGCACTAAATGTTTCTCCACGTCAACATTTTTTAGTTTCTGCTCAATAATTTTCTATAAACTCGATGGATTTATTAATATTTTGGTGAGGAGGTGCAGTGTGGTAGGTCCTTGCTGGGGAATGATACAGGGGTTGTTAGGTTGGGGGTAACTACACAGTTACTAGATTTTTATTAGGTGTGGATAGAGGGGAGGCTGTGTCGTTTCCAAAGTCTCTCTCTCTCAAGGATAATATAATTGTGTTCTGAGTTTGTTTGAATAGCACTAGTATTTCCCTCTATGCTACTACTACTACAACTACTACTACTACTACTACTACTACTTACTACTACTACTACTAATGTTTGTTTTCGAGAATTAGGTTCATGTAGATCTCCAATCACACTGTTTACAACTTTACACCGGCGGGCTAAACAATGATTGTCCCCCTTCAGTGTTCAGTCTAAACTTTGTATAATAGGTTAATTTTGACTATACTATATGAAAGCACGTATAGTTCTGTATCTTTTTACGTATGGTGGTAACTTCTAACGTGTTGAACGATTCTGAGAAGAAACGATTTATACCCTGTAGATCGCATTCCAGCAGTGACTTTTAGAGAAGTTTGTGACATTGGTGCCACGTTTGTTTCACGCACTTGAATTGTTGTGCGCCTTGAAAGGTCCGAGGACTTTGTGAAAAGGAACTGGCGGAAGTTAGTTGAAGAGTGTAAGACCGAGTTCCCCAGCGGGCGACCCGAGATGCTGTCTCAGGAATGAAAGAACATCTTCCTGCAGGGGTCGCGTCGCCCAGAGAAGAGTCGTGGGTTTTTGGTCAAGGAGATTCATATCTGATGTGGAAAGACATTACGCCATGAAACGATTTTATTGTTTCTTATCCGGTAAGGTGTAAAGGCTTGGCAGGAGCTGGCGAAACCTCTGAAAACAGCGCTCAACATCGACGACAGGCTGTTGTTCACGGATTATATCTCAGTGAATGGGACAAGGAGACCTTCCTCCACCCTGCTGCTAGAGACAAGTGTTTCGTTTAGGTGACCAGGAATCAGATTCTCCAAATGAGTGGATATGATCAAAGTCTCCAGATGAAGTCCCGACGAAAAGGCCTCCCAAGAGTCACTCAGAACTCTTGACTTCGTGAGTGTGTTTGTTCTATTCACCGCCCGCCGCCGCATGATGTGGGTGAAGCCAAGAGTTCTTCGCCCAGCGCACCATTCCGTTATGAGCGACTCTATAAATATTCTAGTCGTCGGGGAGGTGACTTTTCTGCACGACAAAGACACCTGCATCTTCAAACTTTTTAAGGATGAGAGTTGTGAACTGTTGGAACAATCTGCCAGAGAGTGTTGTGACGGCACCGAGTGTGAGCTCTTTTAAGACCAGACTTGACCAACACTGGAGCAGGTTCAGGTACATTCAGGAGCCGGTGCATGCCCAGTACTTGCCAACAGTGCGTGACAGAGACGTGACCGACTGTCCAAGCGGCGAACGATCCGATCAGTGGCGGAGAGGATAAAAGTAAAAAGTACATCACATCACCAGGACACATCACCAGTACCTCACATCACCAGGACACATCACCAAGACACATCACCAGTACCTCACATCACCAGGACACATTACCAAGACACATCACCACTACCTCACATCACCAGGACACATCACCAGTACCTCACATCACCAGGACACATCACCAAGACACATCACAAGTACCTCACATCACCAAGACACATCACCAAGACACATCACCAAGTACCCTCACATCACCACTCACCAAGACACATCACCAAGACACATCACCAAGACACATCACCAGTACCTCATCACCAATCACCAAGACACATCACCAAGACACATCACCACTCACCAAGACACATCACCAAGACACATCACCACTTACCAAGATACATCACCAAGACACATCACCAAGACACATCACCACTCACCAAGACACCAAGACACATCACCAAGACACATCACCACCACTCAAGACACATCACCAAGACACATCACCACTCATCACCAAGACACATCACCACTCACCAGACACATCACCACTTAGCAGTTAAGAGCTTAGTTTAGCTGATGATAGAGGAAGTTCATTAGCGTGTTGTGCCTCAGGACCACAGGTGAAGGATAGTGAACTTGTGAGGAGAGTCTAGGAGTTGTGGTGGAGTAAACAATATGTAGGTGGCACACACACACACACACACACACACACACACACACACACACACACACACACACACACACACACACACACACACACACACACACGCACACACACACACACACACACACACACACACACACACACACACACACACACACACACACACACACACACACACACACGTCTCCTGAGGGTGTTTTAATCCCACTGAGAAATAGGAGAATACAGGTAGAAACACAAGGTCAAACCCACCTCTTGCTTGTAGTCTGTGTGTCAGGTGTGTGGGGGAGGCCAAGTCTCAGGTGTGTGTGGGGGGAGGGAGGGGAAGGTGTGTGGGGGAGGGCCAAGTCTGTGTGGGAGTCAAGTCTCAGGTGTGTGGGGGAGGGCCAAGTCTCAGGTGTGTGGGGGGGAGGGAGGGGTCAAGTGCCCAGGTGTGTGGGGGGAGGGTGGGAGTCTAGTGTGTGTGTGTGGGGGGAGGGTCAAGTCCCAGGTGTGTGGGGGGGGGGAGGGCCAAGTCTCAGGTGTGTGGGGGGGAGGGGCCAGTCTCAGGTGTGTGGGGGGAGGGGCCAAGCTCTCAGTGTGTGGGGGAGGGGAGGGCTGCCCTCAGGTGTGTGGGGAGGTCAAGTCTCAGGTGTGGGGGGAGGGGCAAGTCTCAGGTGTGGGGGGAGGGGCAAATCTCAGGTGTGTGGGGGAGGGTCAAGTCTCAGGTGTGTGGGGGAGGTCAAGTCTCAGGTGGGGGAGGGGCCAAGTCTCAGGTGTGTGGGTGGAGGGGTCAAGTCTCAGGTGTCACACTAACTCTCCTCACTACAGACAACAGCAGTGTACAGACAAACGGATGTATTACTATTGAAAGATGAAACGATTAAAGAATAATGAAGATCTATATTTTCTTGAACTATGACCAGAGAAGATGTTAAGCCACGAAGGAAGTAGGTTAGGGTTAGGTGAAGTTAGGTAGAAGTTAGGATTGAAGAGAGATATAGCGTATGACATACATAGAGAGAGAGAGAGAGAGAGAGAGAGAGAGAGAGATTGGCTGCTCATTGGCTATTCCTTTGTTGTTATGGTTCACATCCCAGATCACGACGTGTCTGTCTGTCTGTTTGTCAGTCTGTAATTGGTGTTCAGGAAGAAAGTTTGAAATGGTGATAATGAAAGGAGAGAAAGAGAGTAGATGAAGAAATCAGAGAGAGAGGAGAATGAGAGAGAGTAAAAAGAGAAAAGGGATAAGAGAGAGAGAAGAGAGAAAAAAGAAAAGAGAGAGAAAAAAAAAAAAAAAAAAAAAAAAAAAGAGAGAGAGAGAGCACCTCCTTGGCATTCAGTCGCCAACAGTGTTAACAAGTTTCCATCTGTGCTGATGTTTTATTTATCCTCCTGGGCCCTGAGGGAGGGCTGCCGTCACCATCACCATCACCATCACCATCACCATCGTCACCACCACCACTACCACCATCAGAGATAGACGTATAAAACAATAATTGAAGGGATATAACACACACACACACACACACACACACACACACACACACACACACACACACACACCACACACCACACACACACCACCCACAACACACACACACACACACACACACACACACACACACCACACACACACACACCACACACACACACACACACGTGAGGAAGTGTTTTGCAACTGTTTAAGTATTTTTTTTTGGTCGCTTAAAATTCGTAACAAAAACCTGATTCGCTCTTGTGGCAACCCAGTTATCTACGCCTCCTTAGAGAAGAGAAGGAGGAGGGGAGAAGGAGGAGGGGTAAGGAGGGAGGGTAGGAGGAGGAGGAGACAATGACGGAGGAGAAAGATGGAGATATAATGAGGGAGAGCAAGGAGGGAGAGAAAAGAGGAGGGGAGAAGGGAGGAGAGGGAATGAAGGAGGGGTCAGTAGGGAGGGGAGAAGGAGGGAGAGATAAGGAGGAGGAGACAATGAAGGAGGAAATGGAGGAGGGGGGTGAGGGGGTGAGGGGGGGTGAGGGGGAGAGGGGAACTTCAAGGAGAGATTGTGAGACGAATTTCTTTGTAACTGAAGAATGTGTGTGAGGGTGTGTCGGTAAAAGGAAGGGGGAAGAGGGGAGGGGGGGATGAAGGGGATATGGAAGAGGAAGGGTGGCAGAAGGGAGAGGGAAGGAGGTGGGGCAAGGGAACAAGAAC